ATGACTGGTTATTGTGTTTCTTTTAATTTTAGCGCCCTCTAGCGGGATAAAAAATTATTACCTATGATAAAGTGTGACACTTCATTTAAGAGCTAATTTTATTAGTAATCCAATGAAACACATAAAATTAACTTAGATATCTCCATATTGCACTTGCAACAAAATAAATTTAGTAATAAGGCATTCCTTTTTTCTTATAAGTTTATTTTTGATTTAGTTAAAATAATATTACATAGTGTATTAAATTACTAATGAAATTAGCTTTCACACTTTACCATAGGTAATAATTTTTTTATCTCGCTATAGGGTGCTAAAATTAAAAGGAACGCAATAACCAATCATATTCCTAAATTCCCCATTAAAATATCTTTCCGACGATGTGTCATATTTGGTAATTTTCCTATTTAAATTGTATTGGTCAGATTGACGTAGGGGAGAGAAATGACAGTTGAGAATATTATAGAAAGGTGTCCCCCTTGAAATAAAAATCGACCTATTATTGCGTTTCTTTCAAAAAAAATTCTACAATCGAAGAATTCATAGAATCACAATCTCTCATCTTAAGGTTAGCCATTCTTCCTATTTCTGTGCAGATGTTCCGGAGGACTGTTATACGGGTGACGTAGTTCTATGAGAATCATGGTTGTCAGACCTGTTCTCCATTGGAATGGTATCTGAAGACTTCCATTCTCTTAGAAGACCCACTCTTGTCCGAGTTGCCTCAGTTTCCTCTAGTGCCCCACTTGGGTCTTCGACCAGATAATTTCCGTTGGGTCGTCCCAACGGTCAGGGTTATAACGAAACTCACAACCTCGGTAATCAATCCATTTATGTCATGGTTTACCTTTTGATGTCCTATTTAACTTCTCAATTGTCTAGCATTGTCTGGACAACTTTACTTTAGTAACAACTGCTAAAACTTTCCTATAATATAGTAAGTATTCTTTTAGTTTTTAAAACTACTAATGTTTTTACTTTCCTATCTGTATACAGATACATATAAGGAAAGTATAGGAATCATGATTTTTTTTGATCTCGAGTTTTCGACGGATTTTTACGTTTTGAGGTCCCCTGAATCCGTTTTGACTATTTTCGCGATGATGTCTGTGTGTGTGTGTCTGTAGGTCGCATAACTCATAAACCGATACACAGAAAAACACCAAATTTTAAACTTAAGCTTTATTCCAGCGACTGATTAGATTTTGGGCAGAGTCGGAACATCTGGGGGGTACTTTATAGGTGGTCATTTTTATATTTTATAGAATATATCTGTTATTTACGTTTGGAGAAGAAAATTCTTTAAATAAAAGTTACTTCTAATATAATTATCTATAATTTTTGTTCTATACACAATTTTCCTAAAATGGTCCGTATTCGAGAAATTTGACAAAATGTAAAAAAAATATTTTTTTATAAAAATTATTCAAATAAAAGTTGTTTGTAATATAATTCTCTATAATTTTTATCCTATACATAATTTCTCTAAAATGGACAGTATTCGAGATATTTGAGAAAATGTGTAAATTTCGAATTTTGAAGAAAACTCAAAAACGGATAAAGAAAAAAACATTAAATTTTAAACTTAAATTTTATTTCAGCCTAAAGTGAAATGATTAGATTTTGGACAAAGCCGGAACATCTAGGGGGTACTTTATGGGAGGCCGTTTTTATATTTTATGGAATATATCTGTTATTTATGTTTGGAGAAGAAAATTGTTCAAATAAAAGTTACTTCTAATATTATTATATATAATTCTTGCTTTATACAAAATTTTCCTAAAATGGTCCGTATTCGAGAAATTTGACAAAATGTAAAAAAAAATATTTTTTTATAAAAATTGTTCAAATAAAAGTTGTTTGTAATATAATTCTCTATAATTTTTATTTTATACATAATTTCTCTAAAATGGACCGTATTCGAGATATTTGAGAAAATGTGTAAATTTCGAATTTTGAAGAAAACTCAAAAACGGGGGGGGGGGGGGTACTTTATGGGAGGCCGTTTTTATATTTTATGGAATATATGTTATTTATGTTTGGAGAAGAAAATTGTTTAAATAAAAGTTACTTCTAATATTATTATCTATAATTTTTGTTTTATGTCAAAATTTCCTGAAATGGTCCGTATCCGAGAAATTTGACAAAATGTGCAAAATTCTGATTTTTATGAAAATTGTTGAACTAAAAGTTGTTTGCGATATCGATCTCTATAATTTTTGTTTATACATGATTTTGCTAAAATGGGCCGTAATGGAAAAATTATAGGAAAAGTGCTAAATTTAAATTTTTCAGTATTTTCGTTTTCAATGAATATCTATAGAAAAATGTTTCGAGGTAGATGTATGTGGAAAATGTATATATTTAGTTGATCCTCTAAACATTTATAGAGGTGCTGCAATAGGTTGTACAAAATAATCGGAAAAAGCCTGTAATAACTAGATAGGAAAGTCATGTGTTGGACACATCAGATTTTTTAATATACATTTCTTCGATATACATTTATAATTTGAGTTGCTCTCATCCCTAGTTGATAATCTTAAATTATGTTGTTAAGTTTCACCCACTACTGTAGAATCATAATAATACTTAATATTTAGGAATGAATACCATCAATGTAGCACCAGTGTAACTAAAATAGTTTTTTAAAAATTACAGACTTGAAAATGGCTATATAGCCGAAACGGGTTACCGAATAAATTTTTCAATAAAAATAAAGTTTTATTTATCTCATATAAATAATAGACAAATAGATCAGTAAATGTTTATTAAAAAAAATACAGTATAAAAAAATAAATATTTTAAAAATATAGGACGGAATCATTTAATAGTAAGTACAGTATATGTATATTGAAAAATATCCTCAGGCCTTACAATTTGAGAAGCTACTCTTTACAATTATAAAAGCAGAAATGATCTGAAAACGAATTTAAAAATTAACGGGTACAGCGGTAATACCAACAATAAAGAAGAATTTAGTCAAGTATTGTCCAAAATAAAGAGATGCATATGAGGTGTCCAGTTCCAAAACTGCTTTAATATAATTCCTTAAAGAATTGAGTAAAAGATGGCGTTGGACTCATTGTGACTATAACTGTTTATATGAATTAAATTCGCCATCAAAACTTAACATATCCCTTTAAATTTAAATAGGGAATATCGCTTACGGTTACAGAACTCATTAAATCCACCGCAATTACTGTTTTAGAACTGTCTCCATCCACCATAAAAATTTGGTTCCAAAACTGATTAAGTCCAATGCAGTAAAATGCGGTTAAATGTCATACGTTATCAAAACTGACTTAATCCCTGGCATTTTCTTCGTGCAGTTTAAATTTTTTGAATGCTTGTAAGCCCAAACTGATGTTATTTACACAGACTTTTCTAAAGCCTTCGACAGACTTGATCATGGCATTCTGCTTAACAAACTTGTAGCTTTTCGATTATCTCCTTCTTTAATTTCACTATTTCAATCCTATCTATGGGATCGAAAGCAATATGTCCAGCTTAATGGTTTTAGGTCTGCTGAATATAGTGCTACTTCTGGTGTTCCACAAGGGTCGAATCTAGGACCCCTCCTTTTTATTATGTTCATTAACGATATTGCAGATGTTATAAATGTATGCTGATGATCTAAAACTATACTGCCTCGTAGAGAAGATAGGTGATTGCGAGAACCTTTCAGCAAACTTAACACGGATTTTTGAATGGTGTTATCAAAATAACTTGTCACTAAACCCGGATAAATGTAAAGTTATGTCGTACAGTTTAAAAACGAATATCCTAATATTTAATTATTCAATAGAAAACGTTGCCCTTGAGCGACCGAAAACATTTACTGATCTTGGCGTCACGTTTGACACTGCACTATCATTTAATAAGCATATTGATAATGTTGTATCCTCCTCCTATCGAATGTACGGATTAATTGCACGTAGCAGTAGTGATTTCAAAGAAACCTCTACCTTAAAAACTCCATTTTATGCTTTTATAAGATCAAAGTTAGAATATGCTTCAGTTGTGTGGAGCGCCTTTTATCAGTATCATATAGATCGACTAGAAGCATTCAAAGACGATTTTTAAAACTGCTAAGCCTGAAAACTCATGGCATTTATCCTCTAATAGGTACACCTCACTCTGAATTACTACAAAAGCATAACTTTTTCAGTCTCGAAAGAAGGCGTGATTATTATAGTGTAGTAGTAACTTATAAAATTATTAAAAGTATTATTGACTGCCCAACCTTATTAGAAAAGTTTAATATTTGCATTCTCAGAATTTTTTCCAGACACCCGAATACTTTTTATATAAATACATCTCGCACAAATGTTCTGGAAAATTCTCTGCTCCATACCATGTGTACAGTAACAAATTCTATTGTCAATGAACTTGATATATTTAGTTGCAATTTGTCAGATATAAAATCTCACTTTTTATCTTAGTTAATTTGTTACCTATTACGAAATACAAGTTCTTTTTATGTGCTTAACATTCATATAAAAAATGTGATTTATTAATAATTATATTCTGTCAATTCCTGCTCTGTAATTGGGTTTATGACCTATAGAGTATTGTATTATAAATAAATAAATAAATAAATAAATAAATAAATAAATAAATAAATAAATAAATAAATAAATAAATAAATAAATAAATAAATAAATAAATAAATAAATAAATAAACAAATAAATAAATAAATAAACAAATAAATAAATAAATAAATAAATAAATAAATAAATAAATAAATAAATAAATTTTACGTAGGTATGACGTTCTTGGTTTTCTTTTACGGGTGTTTATTTGAGAAAATAAATAATAACTGAAGAAAACAGTATGATGGAGGAAATTGTGCTTGCTGCTACTACCGGAAGAGAACGAACCAATTGCGTGATGCATCCAAATGGAATGAATCTCAAAAACAAGCAAGGTAAGCCTTTTTTTGAAAAACAATCTAAAATATTTCATTATCTCAAATGATTAAAACTAAATGTATAATATATTAATGAAAAATATTTTCTGATTAAAGAAATAAAAAATCTAACTAATTTATCTATGCAATTTTTTAACATAAAACAAGAAAACAAAACCTTACCTAACCTGCATCGCTTGGAGATATAGCGAGTAACTTCGCAAACATTCTTTACATAAAATAGGAAAAATTTAACGAATTTACCTAACCTGCACGGCCTGGAGCCATCGCGATAGCTTCACAATAATTTTTTTACATAAAATGACAAAAATAAAAAAAATAATTAAACCTGTGCGGCCTGGAACTACTAAAACTTTTTTAAATCAACTTTGACAAAAATTAAATTTCAATAAAAAATAATATTCATATTTTTTTAATTAGTTTTATTTCAATAAACATTTAACAGATCAAACGGAGCAATTTTTTAAGTACATTATATCAAAAGCCCTCTTCTCCTACAAATTTGACTCACGGTATAAAAAAATAGACACATCTTAGTGTGTATACATAATTAATAAAAATAAGCGAGGATATTTTTTCTAATAACTTTCGAACAAAATGTTTTCGAACTAAATAACTTTCGAAGAAATGTTTTCGAACAAAAATTTTCGAACATATTTTTGTATTATAAGTGGAAAACTAACAGGTCCATAATTTAATTAGGAGAGCTGTTACAGGTTTTTCGCGTTACCTGAATAATTGCAATTTTGGAACTGGACGGCTCATATATACTTACAGGTTTAGAAAAAGAAGTGCCCCTTCCTTACAAGAACGGTTCTAAAACAAGACAAGGCTCACGAATTTACTCAGGGTTAGTATTAGAATGTCACCAAGCCTTGGTCGAGGCATCCATCAACAATGTGGTGATCTTAAGATGGATCAATGGCCACGCCAGGTCTTTTTACACAACTCTAGAAATGTTTGGAGAAAAACTATTTTAGCACTCAATTTGCGTTTTCTTATATTAAGTACTTTAGATTTTAAAAAAAATATTCTTAATTCAGTGTTATGACAAATACTCTGTACAGTCTGTATTTTGCAGATCACCAAGTTGTGATAGGCGTGAATGTTTGGACAACCCTATATAGGTAGAATACAAAACATCAAGATTGCGCATGAATATGAACAGATTGTATCACAGTAAATCGCATATTAGAGTATTGCCGAGAATATGATTATTTAAGTATGAGACAGATAAAAAATACCATCAACATTTAAATATAAAAGCACTGTAAATTATATTAGTACCTAAACCATTATTAATAATAATTTAAAAGCACTTAAAAATATAATTAGACAAATAATGGGTATTACTACCAGCAAACTTGTTTGTCAGAGATCAGTTGTTTAAAAGACTTTTCTGTTATTGCATTTAAAGCATGTGTAGGAACTGCAGAATTATAAAGTACACACAAAATGTTATCATTTATTTTAAGTGCGTGACATTTATGGAATTCGGAACACCAATAAGTTTCGATTCCAATATTTTCGCAAATTTCTGAATTAACAGAAGGATTTGATTGATCTTGTTTATCAGATTGTATTAGATTGTTCATTACAGCTCTATAAAAAAACGTCCTTAAAATGTCAAGGCGGTGAGAGTTACCAATATTAGTTTTCTTTGATGATTGTTGTGGAATTTGAGAGATCATATATTTTTTTGTTGTAATGTTGATCAGCAAAAGTCTGGAAAAAAAAATGGTTAAATTTTAGTAGGGTAGCAGAATTACATTTTGTGGTGAATGGTGAAATAAATGTAAATAAATTTAATACTGTATGAAAATACTCCGGGACAGATAAAAGGCTGACTACAGAGCCGGATTTAAAGATGTAGAGGCTCGGGAGCAACAAATAAGTGGGAAGCGCCATTTTTGTATGTAAAAAAGAAATATTTTTTTAGGATAATTCAATAATTTGTTGCCAGACAAATATATAATTTTAACAAGTAATATAGATATTGTAAAATACAGGAAAAAATTATTAGACGAATGAGAATTTTTTCTGCAAAAAAAAATAATAATGAATGTATATAAACTTATTTCTTTTTGTTAGAATTCTATTGTTATGTTAAAAGCAATATATTATATACAGTGTGACTCGTTAGTGCGAAGAAGTCCAATATCTCTCTTATCATAATATGGGAAAATATTTCAGATGAAATACTGCGAAATATACAAGGTGATCCGTTAGATATAAAAGACCCTACTAGAGTAAATAATGGCCTTGACTATATTTGTAGTAATGTTGGTGATGATTTTTGTTTAGATTCGGAAGCCTTTCTGAAGAATGGTCTATCTGATCATTCTGGTCAATTGGCTCTCTTTATGTTAATTAGTAAAGTTGAACCAAAATATAAGAGGATGATCACTTATGCAAATAAATCCAAAGCTAAAAATGCGAAAACAAAACCCGCCCCACATAAACGATCCCCGAAATGATGCTCTACACGTCAGTATCCCTTTCAATGATGACGAACTTCACATTATTTTGATATACATCCACATGCTTCAACCGACGATTCTATCTTCGGAACGGCAGGAAGATTCAAATATGTTGTGCTAATCGGTGACTTCAACCACCGCTCTCCAGGCAAATTAAAACAGATTCAAACTTTTATGCTTAACGCAAACTTTATTAAAGCGGATACTCCCCCTACTCTTTTGGTGCCCAACAATGAGGACTCCACCCCAGATTTGTTAATGTACACTGACAATCTTAGCAACGCAATCAAGAATATAGAAGTCATCCCCTCCATTCAGAGCTGTCACCTATCAGTGAGATTTAAATCATTTTTTGATTTAAATACATTTTTTGATTTAAATACTTTGATTTTAAATCTTTTTTAAAAAAATGATTTTTGATTTATGATTTAAATCTTTCTGAAAAGTATCTTTGATTTTTAATTTAAAAATTAGATTTAAATCTTTTTAAAACGATTTAAATCTTTTTAAAACGATTTAAATCTTTTTAAAACGATTTAAATCTTTTTAAAACGATTTAAATCTTTTTAAGACGATTTAAATCTTTTTAAAATGATTTAAATCTTTAAAACGATTTAAATCTTTTTGAAACGATTTAAATCTTTTTATTGATTTAAATCTTTCTGAAATGATTTAATCTTTCTGAAATGATTTAAACCTGTAAAATGATGCGATCTTTTTAAAATGATTTAAATTTTCTTAAAGATTTAAATCTTTTTAAAACGATTTACATCACTTGATTCGTCAAAATCGTTATCAACCTGTCTTTTCAATAATAATCTAGCCAGCATGTCAGTAGGGTTGAATCAGAAATCCGAGAGAAAAGAAAAACAAAAAATAGTAAAGTGTAACAAATAATTGCAATGTCTAAAGATTATTCTTAAGTATGAAATTTTACAATATTTTTGACCCGATATTTTTTTTGTAAAGTTGTATTTTTTACACCGCAAGCAGCTGGAAATACTTTTTCATTATCGATATAATCCTGAAACTCTTTACATATGTATTTTAAATTTATGCACACTTTTATTTCAGATTTGACATTAGTTGCATTAAGACGATTATGACTTTTTGACCAGTTCAATAAATATGCTTGGCATAGAAAGAGCGAATTAATTAAATTTTTTATTTCTTTGCCTGATTCATCCACACATTCATCAAAAAAATTAACCCAAACGCGCCTACTTTGGCTATTTATTTACTCGCAATAACTTCACGTTAAGAGAAGAACTCTTTTAATTCAACCCACTCAATTTCATTATTCTTAGCCGGGAGATTTTGAAAATGAAATGCATTTTTCCGAGAGAGTCTCCTAAGTACAAAAAATCATATTTTTAAAGAGTCTGATGTATGTGCATCTGTGGGTGTTTATGTATGTATGACATTAAGCACGTTAACTCAAGGAAGAGTTGACGGATTTAAGAGATTTTTCAGAAAAAAAATTACTTTTCTTAAAAACTAGGTCTCCATTGTTTTGTGGCATCATAGGCTTACCAAAAGAATCTTTTAAAGGGTTGAAAAATTCCTATTTACCAATCAACATGACATTTTTAAATAACAATTTTCATAACTATAGATATCAATGCTACATAAATCCTTAAAAAATTTATCTTGATCGGATATTTATTATTTAAAATTAATATTTCGGTAAGAATTGCATTGGGCTAATAACGATAAAAAATAAATACGAGAAAATTATTCATTATCTATCTTTGGCATACCGAAAGCATTTTTTAAAGAGTTACCCAAATCTATAAAAAGATTTAAATCTTTTGAAAAGATTTAAATCTTTTAAAAAGATTTAAATCTTTCGAAAAGATTTAAATCTTTCCTAAAAATGATTTAAATCTTTCGAAAAGATTTAAATCTTTCCTAAAATGATTTAAATTGTAAAAAAAGATTTAAATCTTTCCCAAAATGATTTAAATCTTTCAAAAAGATTTAAATCTTTCCTAAAATGATTTAAATTGTAAAAAAGATTTAAATCTAAAAAAGATTTTTGATTTAAATCTTTTTATTTTAAAAATCGATCTTTGATTTAAATCATTTGTTCAAATGCAAACGATTTATGATCTTTGATTTAAATCGTTTTTAAAATGATCTTAAACAGCTCTGCCTCCATTGGAGCAAACCACCTCTCTATAATGTTTACTATCGAGTAAGAAATGCCCTCTCCTTTTGTAGACCCACCTCTTAAATATCATTTCAATAAATCTAACATTGAAAAAATAAATAAAGAAGTAAACCAACTAATTTCAAATAACACTAATATTACTACCAATGAAGTCAATAACTTTCACACAAAGGCCTCCGAGATTATCACAAACAACACACGAAAAACTGCAAACAAATATTTTACTTATGAACTTCCTAGATACATCGTGAAACTCATCAAAACAAAACGTAAAATGCTCAGAGAATGAAGGCAAAACCCTAGTCGGGAAGTCAAAACAAACATCAACAACTTTAACAAAGACATTCAAAAATTAGTAAAACAATTTCAGCAACACACATGGCTACAGACCTGCCAAGAAATCAATCGAGAACTTCTATGATAAAATAAAAAATATAAAACAAGGAATAAAATTCAAAATATCACAGACCATGGTATAGACTATACCACAGATGAAGAAAAGGCCGATACATTCAAAAGGAACTTCATTAAAACATATAACGGAACGAAAGACCCATCTTTTGAACAAGAAAACTGGAGTAATGTAAACTCATGGTGCAAACAATATTTTAGAAACAACCCAATCAATAAGGAAGATAACATAGAATTCGAGGAGGAAAAATACTTTCAAATACTATCCAATCAGAAAAACTCCACTCCAGGATCGGACATGATCCCATGGCAAATTGTGAAAAAACTAGAATATAATATACATATCTATATTATAAAAATGTTTGTATTCTGTTATAAAAACTCGTACTTTCCAGATCAATGGAAAAAAGGCACCATCATAGTTATCCCAAAACCAGGCACGGACCACAAAAGAATTGATAATTACAGACCAATCGCCCTTCTTCCAGTTTTGGGAAGACTATTCGAAAATCTTATTAAGGTCAAACTATCAACATTAGTAAACGAACGAATTCCGCAATTCCAATTTGGGTTTAGAGAAAAAATCTCTGCTCTGGTACCAACCACTCTGCTGGTTTCCAATGTGCAAACAACAAAATTGAACAATAAAAAATCTGCCATTCTCCAGTTAGACATTACAAAGGCCTTTGACTGTGTCTGGCACAACGGCCTCCTATTTAAACTAAAACTTTTTAATGTGCCTGATGGTCTTATAATTTTTATCAAAAACTTTCTCTCTAAGAGTTAAAATAAATAACCACGCATCTCCAAGTTTCATAGCATATCAAGGTGTACCACAAGGGTCGCCACTAACTCCGCTCCTTTACAACATATATTGCTTTGATTTTCCTTCAGGTCAGTTACACCTCAATGCAATAAATTGCACACTCCAATACGCAGATGACACGGCCCTAGATATCGCATGAAAATACGCTGAATCAAACCATCACAGCACTACAAAATCAATATAACGAAGTTGTTCAATGGCTCAATAAATGGAGATTACAAGTTAACCCACAAAAATGTCAATTAATGATACCCTATCATGATCTAAGACCGACATCACCTACACTCGTCATATCTAACCAACCAATCTATCCCGTATCCTTAGTGAAATACCTAGGCCTTATTATTGATAATAAGCTTGAACTTCAATGAACACACCCGCAAACAAAAAAAAAAATCAGAACCAGAGCCAAACAATTCCGCTCTTTAACATACAAAAAAGAAGGTATCAACATCTACACGGCCACTTAAATCTACAAAAAAAATTTGCAGACCTCTCCTGGAATATGGTCACACTATATATTTAAACTGTCGAAAACCTGCATTAAAAAACATTCAGGTGGCCGAAACTTCTACACTAAGAATCATTACCAAAATGCGACATCCTGAAAACCCCACTCACCATCCAGCGAATGAATATCTTTACGAAAAAACTAAGATTCAGCCTATCCTGGAAAGAATTAGAAAACTACCAAACATTTTTCGAAGAAACGAAACAATCACATGCTAATAACGAAATTCTGCTGAAGTCTCAGATATTTTTGTTGATAACGAGAAAATTTATGATTCCTGTTAAATAGCAAATTCATTTAATGACTTTTGTGTAAATGCTTCTAGTAGGATATTATCAGTTTGTATTCTTCTGAGCAATGTAAAGTCAGCAATATCTTACCATTTTCATTGGCCCGATTACCGAAACAGAAGTCTTCAATAATATAATTGAGTTGAAAAAAATCTAATTCTTGTGGAATTGATCAAATTAATTCCAATATTTTTAAATATGTTGCTTATATTATTGGACCACTAACGTTCCTAATTAATAGATCTTGCCAAAAAGGTGTTCTCCGAAGATATTTAAGACAGCCAAAGTTATACCACTATTTAAAAAAGGTGATATATCAGTTATGGATAACTATAGACATATCTATATCATCCAGTATTTCAAAAATATTAGAAAAAATGATGATTAGAAAAACGGTAGACTTGACTGTAAAATGTAATGTATTTCATGATAGTCAGTATGGGTTGAGGGAAGATAGATCTACTCAAACTGCCATTATCAGCTTCCTTAATAACCTCTATGATAATTTAAATAAAAACAAAAGAAGTGTAGATATTTTTATAGATTTAAGCAAAGCTTTTGATCGAGTTGATCATGCTATACTTAATGTTAAATTTCGTAAGTATGGTTTTAGATGAATAGTTGGTGAGTTCCTATTTATCTAATGGAAATCAGCTAACAGTTGTTAACTGCCGTCTATCAGAAACACGTTTAATTAATTGTGGTGTTCCTCAGGACTCTGTCCTTGGGCCACTTTCATTTTTTATTAACTACTTGTCATTGTCAGTTAATGATGTATTATTGTATTATTTGCAGATGATACTTCCTATCTACATTGCAATAATGATATTTCGCAATTTAGAATAGATAAGTTGTTACTATGGTTGGAGGAAAATAAACTAAAATAACGAAAAAACTGTGTTTATTTATTTTACTCCCAGGGTGAATGATATTTATGAGAGCCATTTAATAAGAATAGGTGGTAAATCAATCCATCAGTTTAGTCTAAAAAATTCTTAGCATTCACATTAATAATTCATTAAATTGGGAAATTCATATTGATATACTGTGTAAAAATCTTTTGTCTGTATGCTTTGCACTTTTTAGGCTTATGAATATTACTAATAAATATGTCTTGTTGGCATATTAGTACACACATTGTTATTCACTCATCAGATTTGGTTTCACTTTTTGGGGATCATCTGCTCATGTACTGAGGGTTTTTAGATTTCAAAGAAAAGCTGTAAGAAATGTAGCATCGTTAAGATATAGACACCCATGTAGAGAAAATTTTAAGGAATTTCGAATTCTGCCATTTTCTTGTATTTATATTTTACAACTTTTAATGTATGTCAAATCAAACTTAGAACATTTTCGAACTAATTATTTTTATCATAATTATTTGACTCGTTTTTGATGTGATTAATTGATACCGTCTCATAACTCTGCATTTTACGAAAAATGTTAAGAATACATGGGTATCCTGGTGTATAATAAACTTCCGAATAGTGTAAAATCAATTGAACATTTTAAAATGTTTAGAGGTAAAGTGGAGAAGCTATTGATGGATAACTGTTCCTATCGCTAACTATCAATAAAGTCCAGTAATACTATAGCAATTTGTGGAAGTAAACAAACATTTTGTCTGACTGTAAAAATCAAATATTTTATCTGCCGCTAATATTTATCAACATAGCCATGTCCGTCTCACATAAACAGTTTGAAACTGATTTGTTTTGTAATCACTGTTATTTTTCTGTTGGTTTATTTTGTCATAATAAAATGTGACGTTAGAATATCTCCTTTTTTATTAATTATAATTATTTACGGTTGGCGATAAAAGTTTGTATGGACCACATCAGCAAAGTGTCTTTATCGAACTCGCCTCACTCGCTTGGCTCATAATCTCAGACTTGTTCGATAAAGAATGACTTTGCTGACTTGGTACATAAATATTATTCTGTCGAAGAATATTTGGATTTCACTTTTTGATGGTTTAATTTTAATTATATTTTTAATGCAATTGTATTTCTGTATTTTTGATAATTATGTAATATCTTTCTTTTGACTTGTTCTATATCATGTATTTCGATCTTATAAACAATAAAGTTGTTATTATTATTATGCATCCCAGACTTGATCCTCTTACAACAACATTCAGAATAGAATTTTAAAAGATACAATATAAAATATTGAACGTTTTTTTATACAAATTTTTCTTACCCTAAAATATTGCTGTCGATGTGGTAGGTAAGAGGAAAGTTCCTAGGTAAACACTGAGCAGCTGCAGTTAAGATATCGGTGGAATTTTTAAAACACTGTGTAGCAGAATGTTCGATTTCAGTCAGAGTAGGTTTGGGACCACAAAGGCAACAAATTTGAACATCCGGTATTAGTGTACAAACTACAAATCGAAAGGCAACCTAAAATTTAACAAATTAAAAGATAATCATCAAAAAGAACTAATTATGGTGTAATTACATATTAGTTTAAGGGCAGATCTTTTCACCTCTGAGACAGATTAACAAACAATAGCCCTATGATTAAATCTTTGATTTTAGAAGGCAAAATGCTTATATAGAAAATTTTCAGTAAATAAAACCAGACATTCAGAAAATTTCATATCATTACCTATACTTCACTATAACATACAATCAATCCGCCCAAAAATATTAGAATTAGAGCAGGTTGTAAAAAATAATGACATTCTGTGCTTTAGCGAGAATTGGCTAAGAGAAGAAGAGGTAAGGATTGATGGATATCAAACTAAAATTGACTTCTCAAGAGCCCTACATGAACATGGTGGTGTAATGATTTGCATTGATGATAAAATAAGTCATAAATTTAAACAACATCTAGACATAACACAAAGGTCTATTGAATTTCCTTTTGAAATTACTGCAGTGGAGTCAAAATCTCTAAATCTACTGGTTATGACGCTATACCGTTATTCAGTAAATGGGAACTTTGACATATTCCTCAATAGCCTCAGTGATCTTCTCGAAAACACATGTAAAAAACAAACAAAAATTATCCTGATAGGGGATTATAACATTTATTTTAACAAACCAAATAACCTGCAGACAATAACACTGACAGATTTGTTATTGTCTTTTAACCTAACTCCGCACATAGACAAACCAACCAATGGGAAAAACTGTATTGACAATATTGTCTCTAAAATTGAGACTATTACTCACACAAACGTCAATGAAGACAAAGGCCTGTCAAATCATAGCTATATCTCAATGTCTTTTCAATTATCCATAAAAGTGAACAAACCAGAAACAACAGAAAATCGTCCAACAACGAAATAGGGTCTAAACAATTTTTTAAACTACATAAAACATTAACTGGACTTTTGTGACTGACACTAATACCTCAATAAATCAAAAATTTAACCAGTTTTTTGAAATTATGTAAAGAGGAACTGAAACCTGTTTTCCAGAAAAGACAAAAACTAAAAAAAAAACAGATAGCTTGCCAATCGTTTGGTACACAGAAGAACTTAAGCAGATGAGGGAAACATTAAATTTTCTCTATGACTTATCTAAGCTGTGAAACACTCCTGACATCATAAACACTTTTAAACCGGAACGTAAAAAATATCGCCAGGCACTGGCTGCAGCAAAGAAAAGAGCAAATGACAATTTCATTACAAATGCCTCAAATCCTCAAAAGGCAATGTGGAGCCTTGTAAATAACTCAAAATCAAAACAGGAAAAAACTGGACACTAATCTAACTCTGAATGATTTTAACAACTTTTTTGGAAATGTTGCTCAAAATGTAAAGAATAGCATACCGGAGAATGTCCTGGGAGATGAGAACACCATATTAAACTTACCAAACACCAATTTGACGTTTTATTTTACTATGGTATGATGCAACACTGTTAAAAATATAATCTTAAACTTAAAAAATAAAAACTCTCTTGATTGCTATTTGATGAATGCAAAAAAATTAAAACATATTTCCTCAGAAATACTTTTACCTCTTACGATTCTCTGTAATGAATGTATAACACAGTCAATTTATTCTATCAGTCTGAAATGCTCTAGGGTGGTCTCGGTCTATAAAAAGGGCTGTAAAAACGATCCTTCCAATTATAGGTCTATTTCTATTATGCCTGTTATTGGTAAGGTACTAAAAAAAATATTTCAATCACAAATAATCACATACTTTGAAACCAATAATTTATTTAATAAATTCCAGTTTGGTTTTAGGTCCTCTAGAAGTACAGTTGACGCTATTAACACCTTAGTAAAAATAATAAATTGAAGCTTTAAAAAAAAACACAGGTATTCTATTCTGCGACTTAACAAAAGCTTTTGATTGCATCTCACCAAGGTTACTTATACACAAACTGAATATATATGGTTTTGATTTACCGAGTAAAAATATAATAGACTCTTATATTGGTGAGAGGAAACAGTATGTAAATATAGAGAAAAACAAGTCAGATCTAATTGAGATGACTCTAGGGGTGCCGCAGGGCTCTGTGATGGGGCCGTCATTGTTTATTATCTACATTAACGAAATTGATGATTTAACCAGCACAGAGACCCAGACGTACCAAAACTTTGCAGACGACACAAATGGGGTCGATGTTGCTGAAATATTACTTGATTTAATGGGAAGCCTGGATGAGATGCAGTCAAAAACAAAAGAATGGTTTGGACAAAACCATCTTATCCTTAATGAACAAAAGACACAAAGAATGTATTTTTCTATAAAGCCTATAGATGTGCCCAACCTTGAGACTCAGGTATTTGGGAGTCAATCTTGACCCCAAGTTATCTTGGGAAAAACACTGAGCCAACTAGCAAAAGAATTATGTTCCGGAGCTTTCTTGCTATATAATTTATCAAAAGTTCTTCTTAATGTATTTCATGCTTATGTCCAAGGTAAAAAGGCCTACGCAATTTTAGCTTGGGGCCATGCAACATCTAGTGATAGAATGTTTAGATTACAAAGGAGATCTGTGAGGATAGTCGATGGAAAGGGCTACAGGGAGGACTGTAAGGAGAGTTACCTAAATTTAAGTATACTATTTATTTTGTATTCATTGAAATATGTAGTAAATAATTTAACAGAGTACACAACACACAATAATGTACACACCCACATGACTAGAAATGCAAAAATATACACCTTGAATACCATAGACTGGAAAAAACCAGAACTGGAATTTCTTACTTTAATAAATTGCCTTCTGAAATACGAGAACTTAAAATAAATATTTTTCACAGTGATGCAACAACAGTAAAATCAGGTGGCTGTCTTGGAACTATAAGTGTTTTTATGTTACCTATTTGTACAATGTTTATGTGTACATTGTTCCTTACTATATTGAAAAAAACATTTTTTATGACTTAATGTTATTTTAATTAGGTACCCATGCGTTTATGTATTTTTTATATTTTTACTTAAATGCTTAATATTTTAAAGTCTGTACTATAGACGTGTGTAAAATTTTTTGTATTTTAATAACATGAATAAACTACTCTACTCATCAGCAAGTAGTTACTTAGAGGTGAAAAAACTGGCCCTTAACGAAACTTACTGTTAGGCTCTTATATGGCAAATATACAGGAATATCTTTGGAATCTGTAGTATTTTCTGAGACAGCAAGAAAAGATAATAGTCGCAATTCATCTGGGTGTAATGACCACCAACTTTCTGTACCTACTGCTATTTTACCTTCAATCAATACACAGCAAAACAAGGAATCTACACATTCGGTAAAGGACTCCAAAACAATCTGTAAAGAAATACAATTGCAAATTAAAGTTTATAAATCAGTATAAATAAACACATCCTGGTATAACAGTAAAAAAAAAAGTTTTATCATAAGGAATCTTCAGATTTTTCCCAAAGTAAAATTTGACCGAAAAGTCTTTCGCTGTAGATTTTATTATGATAAAACAGCTTTTGATTTTGTGTCTGTTTAGTAAAATTATTACAGGTTATTTTTAAAGGAACATTTCTTACAAATAAATACTGCTGCGGTTTTGGTATAATAAACAATAAAATCAATAATAATGTAGATAAACTTAAAAAGCCGAATGTTAGTCTGTATAATATATAAGCACTCCAGAATCAAAGATAACTATACTTAGGAGCATACCAAATAGAAGAGGGTGATCTATCCAATTTTGAACCTCTCCAAATCCTACATTTTCTTGGGACAATATGATTGGAAGGATCATTTAGGCAACAAGCTGCATTGACAAAGAAGGGCACACAATAGATCTTTTAGGTCGAAGTGTATTAGTATTCCATGCATATCACTAATAAGTACTTAAGTAGGTAAATTTTATAAATAGGTACAAAAAAAATTAAAATGAATTTTATACAATTAGGTATTCCAACGACCTGTCCAAATGGCTACCAGTGGGTAATGACAGTTTAGATATGGCAACCCTGTTCTCATATTGTCATTAACAGGGTCAATGATACATATATAGCTATATAAATTGCTCAAAGCTGGTCGCTTACGAGCGGCCATATTGCCTGGCAAATATTTATTAATTTGAATCGGTTTAGCAAAAATGTATTTTAAAACCAATTTTTAGCCTTTAGACATTAAAAAAAATATTTGCTTACGTTTTTACTTCAAGGCATAAGCTTATGTTTATTTCGAAAAATATGGATAATTAATCTATGTAACTATCTATTTCATTGACCTTGTCAAATCACCATGCCTACAGGGTTGCCATAATTTTGTCATATCATAACCCGTCAAAACCACGGCGCACTATAAAGGTGTTTCAACTCCCTGAAAAAAACATACCAAAACCGGTCGTACTTAGGGCAAAAATCCGCTAGGTTCGCTAGTGTCGTTACGGCGGAAAATTGCGGCAAACTTTTTATCTGTCAGAAAAAGTGCAATCATAAAAATAGTTGGTGATGGTGAAAATTCGAGTTTATATGAAATGAAAAATAACAAAACTATCAGAAGAAGTACAGATGAAAAAATTAATGGTCAACAAATAAGTTTATTGTTATTGATGGTTGCTTATAAGTGTTTTTTTTAAACAAGCTACACTGATGTGTGCGTTTATAGGATCAAAAAAAGTGTTCAAGATTTAATAAATATGCTCCAATTAAGTTACAAGTTGCTGCCAGAGACTTGCTACTAAATAAGTGAAATGGGGGTGTTTATAAAAAACAGCTGATTTTGTTTTGTGTTCAAATATTACCTTTGTTTTGGCAAAAACAGCAATACAGTGGGTTACAGATTATAAAATGAAGAAGTGGACCTTAACTATGGTACTCAGATTGAAGCTTATTATTTTTAAAGTGAGTTTTGTGGTTTTCATTGCCCAGATTAAAGATATTCAATAAACATTTAGTTTTATACCTACTATAATCAAATCCATACATAGTGATTGGAATTACAAACATTTCTGTGAAATAGCATTATACCAGAATAATGAAGTCTCACTGGACTGGAGTATATATGTTTCCAAAGATCAGTAAGTACCTATATCAATTATTATTATTATTTTTATTAATAAGTATCAGTAATAAATACATCTCAAAGAATAACAAGGTTGTAACTGTACTTTTTGGAAAAAATGAGATTGGTAGAATATATTAATTAATTTGTTTTTGTGACCAATATGTTCATCTGTTAATTATCAATGTTGTGTTATCGAAGCACTAAAGTTATTCACATGGTTCTATCTGCATGTACATAGAACTTATACAGTTTTTAGCAAGTGTCATTATAGTAGTTAGATCTTTGTTATTCCCTAATCCCTAGCAAATGTAGTCTCCATCCTCCACAATTATATTAAGATTAAAGGCCAGGTTTTTACCTCTGAATAAAGTTGAAAGTAACTACTTGCTGATTAGGCTATAGATTATACTTATGCGTAACTTTACTCAGAGGTTAAAAAAATCTGCCATTAAAAGAACAGTGAGTTTTAGAGCATAAACCGTATTAAATATAATGGGTATTTTTTTATTAAACTTTTTGTTTTTAAACAGTTTTGATTGAAAATTATAAAAAAAAATTATAGAGGATACCTAGAAAGATGTATAATATAAAACAACATTTAAAAATTCTGAATTAACAAAAGTATGTATTTTCTGTTCCAACCCTTGTCTCTGTTACCTAAACTAAATACTAGAAACACAGTTTTAACTGGCAGTTACTACTATGCTTTATCAAATATTCTAAAAAATGTAGGTCGCTTAGTTCTTTCTGCATTTTTTATCACTTAAGATTTTCTCTTAAATTAGAGTTAGAAACACAATGAAAATCAAACAAGTTAATGGCTATACAAACTTCAACTCCAAAAAATAACTAGCTGTCTAGATACAATCTTGTTATCCTAATATGACAGATGTAGAAGATTTATACAAATGTGAAAAACGTTTTATGTTCTGCAATGCTAGATGAAATCTTTAATTAGGCATCAAATTTGTAAAATGTTAGAGATAGTATGTAGGTATATAGGGAAAATAAAAAATATAATTACTTTTAAATTTTAATATAACTAGAACAAAATATTCAGTAATTAAAAATTTTGATAGGAATTAAAAATTTGCTCGAGTATAAATGTTGTGCTTGTTTTTAAGTGGTTTCGATTTACTTTAGGTTTGTTCCAACAATGCTCAGAAATGAGTTACTGACATCAGGATTCTGCACAGTAGTTTATTGAGACTGCAAAATTGTGTACTACCCAGTGGTTTGTTTCTGATCGTTGGAACAGACCTTTTATTCAATAAATAATCAAACAAGTTAAATGTGTATTTGGAATTTTTTTAATTTTACAAATCTGGAGCTTGAATATGGATTTTCAAATGATGCACTTTTTGTAGTTTTTAATAATGCTTATTTTTTTTAGTTTCTTGTTCATTTAATAAAGATGCTTTTTTGTATATGGGGTGATAATTTTTAAGCAGAGGCGTGCAGCACCCACAAGATCACTGCCAGAATTAATTCAAATGGGTAATCTAAAAATATGGAGTAGGTTCCCTGCACAAGATTTTCAAGAACTTGTAAATACAATGTTTTAATGAATTATTGCCGTTATCAAAGTTAAAGGTGATGAAACACTCATGAAAATTTGTAAATATTTAACCCTTTCAGTGTATTTGTCCTTCCAGAGGGACACTCTTAATTAACCCTGAAGTATAAATCTGTTAATTTTGGTAGACTTTTTTTCTTTTTGGTTTATTTACTTTATTTGCATTACTTTTAAGGATTAATATTATAAAAAAATTATTTTCATAGTAAATTTTTGTTTTTGTAATGTCCCTGAACAGGGATGTTATGTCTTGGAGTAATAAAAAATACTATGAAAATATTTTAATTTACTTAAAATAAACAAAGAAAACATACAATCTACTACAATGGTATTTTTTTTAATGAAAGTGGAAGTGAAAGGGTTAAAAAAATAAAAGTAATTTATCAGATTTATGTATGATTTGTTCTTGTAGTGACAGTCACTATAAATATGAGAAGTGTGCTAATTGAAACGGGACAGGGCTCATATAGTTTTATTTAAAAAGTAAACCTTGTCATTAATTAAATATAAATGATTATTATATTATATTATTGAAATATATAATGTAAAACAAATTGTTGTAATGTTTTTCTGAAATAAGAAGTGTTGCCAGGTTTGTTACTGTCTGCTGCTGTGACGTGTACAACCGAACATAATAAACCTACTTATTGAGTACATTAATATAAAAAACTCATAATAAATCTGGAAACTATACATTTGAAATTTTCCTACTTATTTTTTCATTACTGCTATTATCCAATAGAACAATTCCTATGCTTTTATTTAATATTTCATTTTCCACAAATAAATATAAAAAAATAATTAGTAAAATTATAAAATTAGTTCCAATTAAATAATGAACTATATTATTAATTGAAATTGTTAATATAAGAAATGAATAAATTAAGAAAATAAAAGTGTAATAATGGGAAATGTGTAAATTGTATTTATTTCTAATTTTAAATAATTTTGTGTGTATTGTTAATTTTCTTTCTAGTGTAAAATTAATAAATTAATAATTTTAACAAAAATTTAATGAGATGTTTTATTTGTGTTAGAATCCAAATACAATAAGAATGCTGCTGTCATAATGATTACTCTGAATTTCAAATACATAGTATCTATAACTTATCAATAAATAAATATTAAGTTGTTAAGTATAAAAAAATATTTCCTATATTCCTAAAAGATTAACACTTCACCTCCAGTGGATAACTTCGATAACTGTATCAGCAATACTTTCCACATTCTCGTCTCCTTTGAGAAGTAGTCCCATCATAAGTAATAAAAGCAGGAACAGCATTTTTTAGGTAGTTTTTTTTATATTTGCACTGCACATTAAATAATGGTAATCTTATAATTGAAGGGTCTGGAAATGCACCATTCTTGTTCCGGCTAGTTCTGATAGTTGGAATTGTAACATATAGTTGCAAGGTTATATTTAATTATTTGGAACCAGGGAATAAGCATATTGAAATAACTTTTACTTTTTATCATGTATTTACCAATTTTTTCATCGATTAAAAATAAAAAAATTGTAGATTTTCAAGTAATAGGATCGTTATTTTTAACTTCAAATTTGTGTCAAATTCTAGACTTCATTCAGTGCGGAATGGTGTGAATATGCGGATTTCTAGACTCCTCAACTACAAGATAACTTTAAATAATTATTAGGTACATCAGAAAAAACATTGTTTAAATTATTAACCAGTGTATGTACAAATTATTCAATACACAAATACCAACATCTACGACCCCAAACTACATTTATTTACTTAAAGGGATTAACTCCTATAAAAATACAGAATTGAAAAATCTTAAATATTTCTTACAACTCAAATTTGTATTAATTTAAAATCAGTACTTCTATAAAAACCTAGTAAATACATTTAAAGAACTGGAACAAAACACATTCGGGGATGATTATTATTAAACAAATGTATATTTAAACACTTGAAAATAAAAAGGCTACAAGTAAAATAAATTTATCATAGTATCTATTTGATTCTTATAACCAGATACAACTTTCTAGCATTATAATCAGGCTAAAAGGAATAAGTCAAAGATTTTATTTATTCACAGGGTCAGAAAAATATCAAAAGAAATAGGTACCTTGTGTATATGAAATTTATACCATGAACACATTATAATAGGGTCCAAGTCATAACATTATTAGTACCAAGGGGACAGGATAAATAATACGAAATATTTATATAGTAAAACTTTATACTAATAATTATTTTTATTACAGAAAAGACAAAGTTGAATAACCTATTTACATAACCTACAATCATTTAAAAGGTAGACATTAAACATATTTACTTGAAAAATAACGTTTCCTAGTAGATTTCTTAGCACTTTTTCACGGATAACATAATTTACATTAAAATGTTTTTCACAAATGGAACTTTTGGGTTTAATGTTTATTTCCATACCACCTAAATAATTGCACCATATTCTGTATAACTGTTTTTTTGGCATTATAAAACTGCTATCAATATGTTGAAGACTCTCTCCCATAATCACAATTAAAAACAGCTCAACGATCCACCATGATTTATATATTTTTAGATTTTAAAAAATATTTATCTGTCAACACTTTTCAAATTGCAGCTCCTACCACCTTCATCTTTTATTTACTTTCTCGCCGGATAGATACTAGCGAACCTAGCGGATTTTAGCTAGGAAGTACGATCGGTTTTATCGCCGTTTTCATTTGTTTTTAAATAGGAGTTGATACACCTTATAGTACACCGTGGTCAAAACCCATTGGTAGCCATTCAGTTTGGAATGCCTAATATACAGATTTTGGTAATCTTGTAGTTGATGGGTCTAGAAATGAGCATATTCACACCACTCTGCACTGACGTTTAGAATTTGACACAAATTTGAGTTTTGTAATGCGCTAGTTTAGTGTGATGTCATTTTGGTTCCACTGACATTTAATTCTAACCAAACTTTTAACAAAAACGTCAATAAATTTGAAGTATACGTTTTTACTGTTTTTAGTTTATTTCTAAATATTTTTTACAGGTCATAAAAAATAGTTTAAAGGTATGTAATTGGTAACTAAACGATTGTATATTTGATACATGCTATCTACTTACTTTAGGAATATATTTATAAAAGTGAAATAATAATAATAATTACATCATCACTGAACTATCGCATTTGGACGAGGTGTCTCTTTGATAAACTTTTTAATTGTATTTTTATTATAAAATAAGTGCTAATCATGCTGAAAGCTTGTATAGTTTGCAATAATAAATTCTTAAAAGGATCCTGATTGACGTTTCACAAGTAAGTATTCTATATTCCATAAAAGTAACTTAAAATGGGAAATGGGCAAATTAATAAGAAAACATGTTTGTAGAATGTTCTTCTTCATTTAAGCATCACCACAACTGGTTGCGTTTGACAGAAAATAGTTGTTTTCTTTGTGATAATGCTTAATTTATGTCTTTTTGTATAATGTAAAATGGTTTAGATATATTTTTGTATTGTACATATTTATTCAACTGCCATTAATATTTTTTTTACTTATTTCAGATTTCCTGCTGATCTCACAACCAAACTGTCAAGTATTTATTTTGAGCATTATTAGCATTTCTAATAACACATGCCTGTGTTCAGACCATTTTCAACTGAACATTATTATAAAGGTAGCAATAGATTATTAAAAGGATCTATACCAAAAACTGTACCTGTACTTTGATTTAGAAATGAGTAAGTTTATCCAAATAAACTGTAAATAATTGTAATTCGATATTCATATATGTGGCTTTTGAAACACGCTTATTTGCTTATTTTGTTAAATACTAAACATATGTTATTATTACATTATTGTTTACAGGCTTAAAAATAACGACGGTAAAGAAAATATGCCCTTATCTGCAGTTCCCAGCATTGGAAAAATCGAAGTTGGAAAAGAAAGATAGAAAGCTATTGAAAATGTATCATTAGCTCTTATATTTTTAAAAACCAAACAGGTGCTGGTAATAATAGCCTTTGGAAATTTTGAAAATTAATTAAGTGTATATCATTAATAAATTTGCAGAATACATTTTATGTACATTTCATTTGTAGCGACAAAAATATGCAAGACAGGGAACTTCAATCTTTAACTCTCTTTAGAAGACAAAAAATTGTTTAAAATTTGATAAACTCTCATTTATCTACACTAACTACTTCTGAAAGGGAAAGAGAACTTAAAATAGACAAAAGGAAGGTTTGTTGAAGTCAAATAAGATATTTTCTCATATAATCAAGCATTATTATGATTTCAGGAAAGCAATGCTTAAGAAAAAAATTTAAACAGTTACTTTGTGATAGAAAATTAAATTTTGCCCAAAAGAAGATTCTATGCCAAAAAAATATAATTAAAAAACTTAAGAGAAATATATTTTACAAAGTAGATTGGAATCTTTAAATAATATGATAGGATATATAAAAAATAACTCTTCTATCAAAAGTACAGATACAGTTGTGGATGTAAGAATTAATTTCAGTAATTTTCATAATTGTTTTTAATGATGAGGTAACATTTTATTTATATATGTTCTTTTAGATCAAATTAGTTTATTTTTTAGGCTACTCTTGCAACTAGATCTAAAGAATTGGTCAAGAGAGTAATTAAAGATCATTCCAGAACAAAACACTCCTGTGAATTAAGAGCGTTTGCACTAACTTTAAGCTTCTACAGTATGAAGGCTTATACATATGTGAGGGAAAAATTTAACAATTGTTTCCCACATCCCAGTACTTTATCAAAGTGATATTAGGCTTTGATGGTTCTCCTGGATTCACTGAAGAGCATTGAAATTTTAAGGCGGAAAAAGTCAAAAGGTTATAAGAAAGGTTTTTTAATCTTTTCATGGATGAAATGGCAATTATGCAAAGGGTGGAATGGACTGGCCAAAAATATAATAGATATGTTGATGTTGGCAGCAAGTTTCAACAAAATCAATTGAAGCAAAAGAAGCTATTGTGTTCTGCTTGTAAAGTTAATAAATATGTCTATTACGAATAGTTAGGTATCTAGTGTATTTTATATTATCTCTTGTATGTGTATATAGTATCTATTGTGTATATATTAGTAGTAAGTTTTTGTGTGATAATTTTAAAATGTTTTGTGCTCTAATATCGACAGTAAAATGTAACTGAACATTTTTTGCCTGAAAATGTGTATGATATATCTCATGAATAAAATGTATTTTTTCTGTATTCATCCCATTCTATAGGTAATTGGTTTTTAACTGTAAGTGGTGACCTAAACAAATAAATAATAAATTTCATGGGAATTCCGTAGCATTAATGTTTATTTAATTTTTTGTTTTGTTTTATAAATAGCTACACACGTATCTAGGCACAACCAATAACTATGTTTTGATTACAAAGATTAATTATTTTATTATAAAACATGTACATTTAATATCATTACTACTAGAAATAAATTATTGTCATTTGTTTTTATTTACTTTATATAAAAACAATTTCGGTTTCTAAATGATCTACTTGAATTAAACGAAAATAATGTGTCACCACGAATTCATTTGAAAGCATACAGTTTCAAATCATATATCTGCAATAAAAAAAAGTTTTCAATCCTAAACGAACATATAGTGTATAATGAAAGATTAACATTAATAGAAAAAGAACATCATTTAATGAATTTGTTTATTAATCATGCGAATCAATTATCTAAATTATTATTTATTGTGAAATTGCAGTGCATGGTAAACATAAATGCATACCCTTTCAAACTGTACACCATTGAGAATGGAGTACCTACCCCTCACGCCGAAAGTGATGACCCTGCTTATATATAACAAAATACATTGAATGATATATCTAGTCTTCTATGCTCTAGTCTTATATGCTCCAACTGTCAGAACTAGTCTGAACAGGAATGGTGCTGGCAGGTGCATTTCCAGACCCTTCAACTACAAGATTACCCAAATTTTTATGTAAAAAATTAAATCAACAGAACTTACTTGAATTAAATGATTTTCTGGACATAATATTGTTTCCACAAATCCCACAATATCAGATGAATATTTATTTGAATCACCACAATCTAATGAATCCAATAGTCTATCAATAACTGGCAAACATACTCTTAGTTCCCTTTTTAATCTTTCAATATTTCTTTGCATTTTTATTTCTTTTATTCCTACTACTAGCACCACTGCATTGAAGACATCTTCTAATAACCTATTCAAAACTTCAATAGAACATCCACTAGCAGCACCGATAATAATAACACTGAAATATTATTTTAGTAATAAATACTAATTAAATGTAAATTATTTCTTAAAAATTACCTGTCTTCGAATTCCCTCCAACTTACAGCATAATCATCAGTTAATGTTTCCAAAACTTCTATTCCTAAAGGTTTTCCAAACATGTGAATACCATTCAACGAGCCAATTACAGAAAAAGGAAGCTAAAAATATCAGAAATATTTTAGTAAAATGAATTAAAGATAGGTGTGGTGTTTGATGTTACTTACTGCTTCTGCATTTCCTTTTTTTCTTGAAAATATAGGCAAACCTCCTCCAGAAGTCCCACACATAATATATGCAGACATTGATAAGATAGTTTACTTAGAAAATATATATATAAACTTGCTTAAAAATACTGATTTAATTGAAACCTTGTCCAATATTTGACATTTCCTGTAAATATAAACATAAACAAATAGACATAACCTCAAATACTGAATTCTTCTTCTATCTATTAATAGCCTTTGATATCGAGGTGTTAAGTCAATATTATTTTTAACACATTAACCGACACGCCCAAAAAGGTGGGGATCAAGGGATCAAGCCTTAGCGGGGAAAAATGTACAGAATATTTCATATTAAACATATGAAACAAAAATGATTTAATTACAGTAATTGAAACAGTTTCTTTTTTTTTTGGCAGTCTAAATTTATTCAGATCGATATTTATTAAATAAAATACAAAATAACATAAATACTTAATTCTATAGAGCGTAGACGAAAGACCAGTAAAATATATTAAAAATAATAAACGCGACTGGAAAGACAATTCTAGATTTTTTGTCAATCCATATGGCTACTTCTTGAGGTGTCATAGTGGTGAAAGTGTGGTGTTGTGTTGGATTATTCTGTAATTCTGGTATTGGAATTGTCGTCACCCTGTCGCTGTCAATAAGTTCGTCTTGACTATGAGTGATTGTTGGCACTATTAAAGAACTTGGAAAACTCTGAAAAAAAAAAAAGTTAATATTTATAATAAATATTTAATAATTATTTATGTACCAAGTTCGTTATAGACGGTAGGGTGTCTCAAAAAAAATCGGCCCATCCGTTAATCGAGGTCAGTGTAAAAAACCTCTATTAATATTTTTTTCGATTGGGGCCATCATGTTCAATATACTTGCATACTTGCAACTTTCGCCTTCTATGAGGTAGGTGATATTTAGGCACACATTATGATTTGTCATCCCAAAAAATATTGGTGTATCAATTTTAAGCCATCTACCTAATAAAACGTCGAAAATATAATAAAAAAAAGGTATTTTTTAAAATTTACATATTGAATATGATGGCCCCAATCGAAAGAAATAATAATAGATGTTTCTAAAGAATCTATGGTTACCGGATTGGCCCCCTTTTTTTGGGACACCCTGAATGGATGCTAACGCCCGAAGGGTGACATGATTTAGCAAGAGGGCCTTTGGTCTGATTGAATGGTGTCGCGTGATGGGCGCGATCGCTAAATAACACTTGTGGTGCATAACATATTTTATTTTTCACGTAAAATGATTTTATGAAAAAGTTTTTGTCATTAAATAACATAGGGTTCAAATCATTTATTTATTGTTAAAATTAATAATTTTCTTCTTTTTTCTTACAACAATAAAAAATGTAATTAGAGGATAATTGGTGGTATGATTGAACGTTTACGTTATCCGTAACGTAGATGTTAGGCGGAGTTTTAACAGTAACAAGGCAAGTTTGTACAATGGAAAACTTTTTCTAACACATTACTGTTATTTTCCGCCTGTTATGTTCTAATTTAACAGGTTTCCATCATAAGAACTTGCCTCGTTACTTTTAAAATTTGGCCTAACATGTACGTTACGGATAACGTAAACGTTCAATCATAGGACCCATTATTATGAGTATGTAGGTACCTAATATATTTTTGCAAAATAACTATAAATGTGTGGAATCAATCACCCTGCATTGTATTGACAAAATACAATTAGTAATTTTGTGTCGCATTACAATTTTTACAACATTTTATCTACAACTTACGTGAACAGTCAAATAATTGGCCTGTGTATTTCTTTCTGCTATTTCTCTATCCAAACTAGAACAGGACCTCGCTTTATGAAGGCTATTCATTGAACTTGCTTTTCTTAATTGTTTTCTTGCTAGACTGGGAGTTAAGGCACCTTTTAAAATATGAACGGTGTTGTTCTTTTTCATTTCAACTTTTTTTCTGGAAAAAAAAAATTAATATTAAAAGTGACAGAGATATTAAAGGATGTACAAACACGCAAGTAAGATTTCTGTAAATAATTAAAAATATAGTTGACACAACCAACTTCCGGAAAACGTTTAGGTTTATTAACAAATTAAAAGAATAAAAATATTTTGACTAGTAGAGTGGTTGATAAACTAAGAGGAAGTCTTTCATTACTCTATAATTTTTAACCACTCTCCCCAGACAGCACAAATAGGTCCATTGTCGTCCATTCGGCATAAAATTTTAAATGTCTGGACGTCCAAAAATGAGTTTTTTCGGACTTCCGACATACAAAATTTTGGATGTCTGGACGTCCAAAAATGAGTTTTTTTAGACTTCCGATATCCAATGGACGTCTAGTGGCGTATACAAATGGCACACTTTTGACCATTCAGATGACGTTCAATTCTGGATTATAATCCTCTGATACCACATCCCCACTTTTCTTACACAATCGCAACTTACTACACACATTATTATTAATTTAATTAATATTTTCTCAACCCGCTATACACCATTCCTTTTTTTTTAATTACAAATCGGTGATCGGAGCAGGGATCGAACTCACGACACGTCCATTATAGTTCTACGCTTTCAACCGCTAGACTATCTCGACCAACAGAGCTGCTTGAGATCTTTTTACAAGATATGGTTATAATATAATAAGATTTTAAATTTCCGCTGATAGAATGAAATGTAATAGATTTAATTTGTCAATTTTTATTAACCGATTATACAGGGTGATTCACATAAGAACCGACATAGAGCAGGGGCATATAGGGGGTCCCAAAATATGGCAATTTAACGCAACTTACCTCTATACCAAGTTGCTTCCCTAAGGAGTTATAGGCTTTGAAAGTGAAGTTATAAATTTTGAAAAAAATCAATATCTCCGTTATTCTTGAACTTAAAGCAACCAAATTTGGTACACTTTGTGGATGTATTTAGGGCGTTACTTGACAGTAACTAGAGTTTAATTGAAATTTGTAAAGGGGGTATACTGGGTGGCGCACCATTAATATTCAACAGAATTTTGTTAACCCTTGATGGATTTTAAAAATCTTTGCTTTGTTTTGTGGGCAATTCAATTCTTAAACTTTTCTTACTCTAGTAATTTTTCGAAAAAACTCATCATTTTCATCAAAAACTCGAATAACTTAAAACGCGCGCTCTAGGTGTGTTATTTAAAATCATCGAAAATTCAAAAGTGGGCTATGAAAATAAACGTCAAACTTGACAATGAAGCAAGTAAGTTGTTCAATTAAGTAATTGTTGTTTGAGTGTTTTTAAAATGAACGGGAAGTTTTCTTTTAACGAGCAAGTTGACATGCTGTTAGTGCTAGGTTTTTGTGAAGGAAACTGTAGAAGAAGTGTAGAAGAATATCGTAGAAGATTTCCTAACCGTATCATTCCCCATAGAGAAACATTTTCTAATGTTGAAAGACGAGCTAGAGAAACGGGCAAGTTTCTCAATAATACTCGAGAACGTGCTGTCGCACTCAGGCCACAAGTTGAGGTAGCCATTTTAAATGCTATTCAAGATGATCCACATATTAGTACTAGGAATTTATCTCGACAAATTGGTATATCGCAGAGTTCTGTGCATCGAGTTATCCGTCGCAATCTACTACACCCTTATCATGTACAAAAAGTCCAAGAACTTTTACCCGGAGATTTGGTTCAACGTGTCAATTTTTGTCAGTTTATTCTACACCAAGATAATAACTTCCAAAAGAAAATTCTTTTTACGGATGAGGCGACTTTCACTCGCAGAGGTATCACAAATCTCCATAACTATCATGAGTATTCTGACGTAAACCCACATGCAATAACTCCTCGGCATTTCCAACGTGAATTCAAAATTAATGTTTGGATGGGAATTATTGATCGATATTTAATTGGTCCTGTTGTTTTACCGAATCGGCTGAATGGTGAAAATTATTTAGAATTTCTACAAAACACCCTTCCGTATCTACTTGACGAGGTACCTTTACAACTAAGGTTGCAACATTGGTTTATGCACGATGGAGCACCGCCTCATTTTAGTATGAACGTAAGAAATTTTTTAAACCACCAGTATCCCAATAGATGGATAGGAAGAGGAAATAATTGCCCACAACGTTGGCCCCCAAGATCACCTGACCTGAACAAATGTGACTTCTTTCTGTGGGGAACGTTGAAAGAATTTGTGTATTCTTCGCCCGTTGCGTCTCAAGAAGAATTATGGAATCGCATTATTCATAAATGCACATCTATTAGGAATAATCAACAGTAATTAGATAGGGTGGATTTTAATTTTCGCAGAAGAATAAATTTATGCGTAAGAGAAAACGGCGATCATTTTGAACAATTTCTTTAATTTATCGATAAACAATTGTTTGTTCTGGTTGTTGTTTAAGTTTTTTGTGTTTATTTTGGTTAGTTGTTAATCCCAGTTTTTCACATTTCAGTATCTGTACTTACTTTAAGTTATTTTGTTACGTATCTAAATAATAATTTGCCAGCCAATTCCTACTGATCACATTAAATGACCTACTTTCTTGTTTGACGTTTATTTTCATAGCCAACTTTTGAATTTTCGCTGATTTTAAATAACACACCTAGAGCGCGCGTTTTAAGTTATTCGAGTTTTTGATGAAAATGATGAGTTTTTTCGAAAAATTACCAGAGTAAGAAAAGTTTAAGAATTGAATTGCCCACAAAACAAAGCAAAGATTTTTAAAATCCATCAAGGGTTAACAAAATTCTGTTGAATATTAATGGTGCGCCACCCAGCATACCCCCTTTACAAATTTTAATTAAACTCTAGTTACTGTTTCAAGTAACGCCCTAAATACATCCACAAAGTGTACCAAATTTGGTTGCTTTAAGTTCAAGAATAACGGAGATATTGTTTTTTTTCTAAATTTATAACTTCACTTTCAAAGCCTATAACTCCTTAGGGAAGCAACTTGGTATAGAGGTAAGTTGCGTTAAATTGCCATATTTTGGGACCCCCTATATGCCCCTGCTCTATGTCGGTTCTTATGTGAATCACCCTGTATATAAAAAAGAGGAAAGTGTATATAGATGGATATTATCTGGTAGGCTAAATAAATAATGACCTAAGATGGACTACTACTGGACGTCAAAATACTACTAAATTTAAGATTAATTTCAAAAACAAAAGTCTTTTGGTAATACTAAATTTAAGATTAATTTCAAAAACAAACGTCTTTTGGTATCGATATGCAGCTGTCAAATTAATGATACTTAATGGACGTACACTGAATGTTCAAATACGGATATGGGCATTTTGACCCTCAAATGGATCTAAAGTAGACGTCTATTGGATTATGTGTGCTGTCTTGGTCTTTATAGTCCTTCTATTCTCTCTTTTTCGCTCTTTCTCAATATTTTTTCTACACTCTCTCTTGACATAAAAATTTCTGGGAAGAAAAATTATATTACGTCATAAATTATTTGTCAAAATTATCATAATTAGCAATACTGAGGGCAGAAGACTAGAAAGAAAGTAATTTGGATACATTTAAGGGGTTGAAAATAATTATTTTGGGAAAAAATTGTTCATTGCTAGAAATGGCTTCTGATATTTTTCAGGTTTTTGGTTTCTATATTAAAGCAAGAGGGTTTTGATTGAATGTTACTGTTAAAAAAAATCTCTATACTCTCTCTATATTCCCTCTATACTCTCTCTATACTCCCTCTATACCCTCTCTATAATCTTTCTATACTCTCTCTATACTCTCTATATACTCTCTTTATACTCTCTTTATACTCTCTCTATACTCTCTCTATACTCTCTCTATACTCTCTCTATACTCTCTATACTCTCTCTATACTCTCTCTATACTCTCTCTATACTCCCTCTATACTCTTTCTATACTCCCTCTATATTCTTTCTATACTCTCTCTACACTCTCTCTATACTTTCTTTCTCTATACTCTCTTTCTCTATACTCTCTCTATACTCTATCTATACTCTCTCTATACCCTCTCTATACTCTCTATACTATCTCTATACTCTCTCTATACTCTCTCTATACTCTCTATATACTCTCTCTATATACTCTCTCTATATACTCTCTCTATACTATCTCTATACTCTCTATATACTCTCTCTCTATACTACCTCTATACTCTTTCTATACTCTCTCTATACTATCTCTATATTCTTTCTATACTCTCTCTATAATCTCTTTCTCTATACTCTCTATATACTCTCTGTATACTCTCTATATACTCTCTATATACTCTCTATATACTCTATACTCTCTCTATACTCTCTCTATACTCTTTCTATACTCTCTCTATACTCTCTCTATACTCTCTCTATACGCTCTCTATACACACTCTTTATACTATCTCTATATTCTCTCTAGACTCTCTATATTCTCTCTAGACTCTCTATACTCTCTTTATACTCTCTCTATACACTCTTTATACTATCGCTATACTCTCTCTATACTATCTTTATACTCTCTCTATACCTTCTATATACCCTCTATATAGTCTCTCTATACTCTCTCTATACTCTATACTATCTCTATACTCTCTCTACGCTCTCTATACTCTCTCTATACTCTCTCTATACTCTCTCTATACTATACTCTCTCTATATCTGTACTCTCTATATACTATTTCAGTGTTCTCTCTATATGTTCTTTATACTCTATACTACTATATATTACTCTATACTACTCATTACTACTCTGTACTACTCTATACTACTCTATACTACTCTACACTACTCTACACTACTCTACACTACTCTACACTACTCTACACTACTCTACACTACTCTAGACTACTCAATTCTACTCTATAGTATAGAGTAGATACTACTATAGGAACAGTAAAACATTATATGTAGTAAAGTATGATGTGATTCACAAAAATGGTTTCTAAAGTAGGCCTTGGAAAAATTCACGCATATTGAGCGAATATTTTTTCTTGTTTAAATAGCAGTTTGGATTTAAATCAGAGCCGTGCTTAGTTATTACAGACATGACTCATATCTTTCTTTTGTCGGACATGGCCTAATCTAGAACCATTTTTAGTTGATCAATTTTTATCTTCGCTTGTGATTGTATTTGTTTATATTGACTAAAACTTACTTTCTTCTCCAAATAACATTTACGAATGCGAATTCAGCAAGTGAGAAAAAAATAAAACTTGCACACGCTAAAAACCAAATTTCGCTGGCTTTTATGTAGGAAACTTTTGGCAAATTTTTACTTAGTCCACCATTTAGTGTTATAAAGGAAAGCATGGTAGATGCACCTGAAAAATAAATAAATTTACACTTTTTACAACTTATATTATTTATTTTGCTACAATTGTATTACTACTACAATAATTCTCATGCTAAGTATATTAGTTTTAGCAGGAATTACTCACCTAAAGTCACTCTTGGAGGAGCTGCATCTGCTTGTAACCAAAACGTAACCCATGATGTACATACTAATAATATGGAAGGCAAAAAATAGTCCATAATATAATATCCGACCTCCCGACGTAATTTCATCTTAAAAGTTATAGCACTGAAATGCGCACTGCTTCCTGAAACAATAATTAGTACTCTATGATAAATCTTCATAAAATGCATATCAACAAAAATATTAAAATAATCCACTTGTTATCTTTACAAGACAACTTATAGCCTCTTGATCGGTGAAGGTAGTAGTATTTTTTAATATTAAATAAGTGTAATAAATAGTATGTATTTTACACGATCTGATGGTCGTTTTCAAACTTAGAATTGGATATTTCTCCAATGTGAAGTAACGAGTAACAAAAAAGGAAGAGGTAAAGGAAGGACCAAAAGAAAGCCCGCCCTCCACATATTATAACTTATTTTTTAAAGCTACCAGGCCCCAGGGATTTTGCCCCACTACCCCTGCCTCTGTCGAACCTGGCTATAGGTACGACTAGAAAGGAGTAAATAATTAAGATACTAAAAAGGGTATGAAGCATAGATATAGAAGTATGAAGGGTATATTATGCCCTAAATTTCAAGATAGTTAAAATTATTGAAAAATAAAGGAAAACAAGATAACTTCAAAGCCATGTGTCACAAAATAATACGTGCCACCGTTTCCATCCGTGAAACAATTATTTTGGCTAATAACACAACAGGCATTGAAATATGCCTAAAGAAAACAGCAGAGAGAAAATATTTTTCAACATTTTAACTTTGATTTTGATTACTAACGCCCGTATGCACCGTACACGTTTAATCCAGATCAAGGGCTTAATCGCGTTTAGAACCATTTTTAGCTATGGTACTAAACGCGATTAAACCCTTAATCTGGATTAAACGTGTACGGTGCATACGGGCGTAAGGGAAACGTCAATCTTGGATCGGAGTAGATGAGATTAGCCAGTTCTGGACCAAGGTCAGAGGTACAGAAAGAGGTAATTGGGTAATTAGTAATTATCCTAAGTACCCACCCCCCACTATTCGCGCAATTAGCAAGTACCTCCGAATTACTATCATGTACTGTAATAAGTGTAATTGCATAGTGTAATTGCGTCGTGTAATGGCACCTCTCATTACTCCATATACATAGAGGTGTAAGTACCTCTCAGAGAGTATTCACTATGTATATCACGTAATGTGTAACGAGCATAGTAAGTACCCATACTCATCGAAACATAAGTACCTCTTAGATAGTAATTACTATGTATATCATGTAATGCGTTTAGTCTAAATACATCTCAGTGAATACTATTGTGGCATCGGGAAAATAAGTCCTTAACTCTCAACCGCCATAGCTAGAGTGAAGCGCTAGTCTTCAGCAGACACGGGCCACCTAAACATTGGTGGAGGGGGTAGAACCCCACCCTTCGCGCATCTTCAGACTTGTATATTATGAATAGTGGAGGGAAGCATAGGAGAGGTGGGAATTTTTAGAGAGGGTATATAGTAGCGTGCATATCCAAATTAAATCAGTTTAAAATCGTGAGTTTTAAGTTCCATTATCTAATACCGAAATATTCGTAAAATAATAGACATGTATAAGTGTAATTGTGGTTCAACATTTACAAGGATAGATAATTTACATCGACATCAAAATAAAAGTTGTAAGATCGCACTGGTGAATCATCCAGAGGAACGAAAAGATCCGCCACTTCCAGCCCTGATGTTCTACCCATAAAAAATGCCCGGGTAGTGCGAGTTCCACAAGTACATACGCATCGCACCGTAGACTCACAAAGGAATAAAGGGAGATGTGAATCATGTGATGTAGACATCCCTACCAATCAGATGTCATCGCATCGAGTCTTGACCATAGAATCTTGGACACCAATGCTTTTTAAATGGAAAACGTGTAGTTCACTCTGGACAGTAGAATACTGGTGTGGACAAGTAAAGATAGGACAAATATTGCTAATAATTTAAATGGGGGAAAGTTATTTGTTATAGGGTAAAGTCAACATTGGACAATAAAAATAAAATATATTTTGTTTTATATTAAATTATATTTTTAAAGTAACAGTATTAAGTATTTACAGTAACTCAATAAGTTTCAAAACTGTCTCTCTTTGAAGCTCAGCTTTTTTATTTAGGCCCATTTTCAGTAAACTTGTAATTAGTTTCTTTTTCTTAATTTGTTTTTCTTCGTAATTATTCCTAATTTCAATTCCCCGTTCTGTTTTGTAAAATTGTCTTCGTTCCTCGTTAGCTTCTTCCCTCCGCCTTATTCCTTCGGCACATGTGGATTTATCATGAAGTTCGTGTTCAGATGTGTAGTATTCTAAGTCTTTGGCACCTTCAGATGCTAATTCTGAAATTTCTGTGCGTACTAAGCAACACTCTGTTTTCCTCGGGAATGTAACCAATCTTGTTTGAATACTATTCTATCGTAATGAGAATGAGGTGTACCTCTAAGACCATCTCCATCCCTTCTAAGCGGCTTTTGTCCATCAGCACAGGTGATGTATCTGAGGACACCAATAGCATGGTCCAAGCAAATTATTTTCTTGAAAGTTGTTTTTGAATGGAGTCGTGTACCAGTGCGCTATAGTTTTTTCTTGTAGGCTAACATTGTAAATCCATTAGTAAAATGTATTAAAGCGTGAAGATGTTCATGTGCTGTACTGCCATCGTCTGCTATTAGATGACATCGACAAATAGAATACCATTTAATATTTGGAGCACAAGCAAGTAAATTAAAGTCCTTTTCATTTTATATTAAGTGATACCATTCTTTAGACAATTCTTAGTAATCTTGTGCCATTTCCTGTGGCGACAATGCGTTAATTTCATTTAGATTCAAGAGAGTCAAATAATCAGTTTTTGACAATGAAGACATTTTTCTGTTATTTTTAGAGAAGCTACTCGTAGAAAATGTCTTAGTAGACTGGAAGAGTCTTTAATGTCTCAATATCTTAAACAAATAATTCATTACCCTCACCAACACCAAGATTTTTGCGCATGCGCAGTAGTACAAACGATTGTGGTGTAAGCGTCTTTGCAACATGCGTTCACGTGAACGAAGGTTAGGTTAGGAGGGCATACGAGAAGTTATCACTCGGTAAATAGCTTTAGAACTGTAGATGTGTAAAATTTAATCGTACACCTAAATTTTGGTTGTGTAAAATCAAGTAGCGTCATCTACACTTATTAATACATAATAATAATTATTTAAAATTATTGCATTTTAGGTCAGAGAACCCAAATAAAAACAGTTCATCCAAGCAACAGATTTGAAGTGTTTAAAGAAACAAAACTACATTGATGTTTATATAAATATATAGATATCCTAAATTTAAATTCTGGTAAGAAGTCATTAAAAATACTGAATTGGAAATATACCGGGTGTCCCAGATTTTTTTGCCCAGCGGATATCTCGGTTATTTAATGATATAAAATTGTAAAAAAAAATATGAATAATATTTGTCTAGTAGCCTTTTAAATTCCACTACATAAAGTTATATTCATCAATCCACCCCATAGGAACAACCCCTAACTTTTTTTTTTCAAATGTCACCCCTATATTTTTTTTCGCTGATATAAATACTCAATTTGTCCCGAATGCAACGATATGATATTTGATATACTTTACAGAGTCATAAAGCCGGTAAAGACTAAAAACCAATGTTGTGGTTAAAGTCATTAATTTTGTATCACCTGGTATTTTCTTTTTATTTTGATTAGAATTGCTTCGTTTTTGTTTTTTTTTTTTGTTACCTATAACTAACTAACGATATGCTTAGACCATTTCTGAAATTGTTCGCTAGCTATAAACAACAGACAAAATGCCCTTTACATTCACTCCAAACGAATATGTTGATATGCTTTTAATTTTTGGTGAGTGCCAAAAAAATTCTCGTGCTGCTGTACACTTGTATCAACAGAGGTTTCCTGAGCGCCGACAACCATCACGTAAAACATATTCTTATGTTAAGACTAGGATGAGAGAAGGGTCATTTCCAGGAAAAGACAAACATCGTCAACATGCTGCTGCTGTAAGAACTGAAGAAATGTGCATTAATGTATTAGCTTATGTGCAAGTACATCCCCAGATATCGACGCGAAACCTAGCTAACGAGGTTCATATTAGTAAGTCGTCAGTACAAAGAATCCTAAAATCCTATAATTTTCATCCGTTTAAAATTCATTTGCATCAGGAACTTAGAGCTGGAGATTTCGAAAGAAGGATAACATTAATAGCACATTTTGAAGATTTAATGGAACGAAATCCCAACATTTTGAACCAGATATTGTGGAGTGACGAATCAAGGTTTCACAATAATGCTACTGTAAATCGTCACAATATGCATTATTGGTCTCCTGAAAACCCTCACTGGGTTAGGGAAACTAACTTTCAGACCATCTGGGGAGTAAATGTGTGGTGTGGATTATTTCAGGGACGACTGATAGGTCCCTATTTTTTTCAAGGTACGTTAACTGGTGCTAGGTACTTACACTTTCTTGAAAATGACCTTCCAGAACTTCTTGAAGAAATTCCAATACAAGAAAGAGGTGCTATGTGGTGGCAACAAGATGGAGCTCCTCCACATAATAGTAATTTAGTTACCCAATTTTTAAACGAACGCTTTGAAAATCAGTGGCTCGGAAACAGCGGCCCTTTGAGGTGGCCTGCGCGTTCACCAGATTTATCGCCTCTAGATTTTTTTTTATGGGGATATCTGAAGACCGTGGTATTTGAAACACAGCCATTGAATTTAGAAGATTTGCAAAATAAAATAGTACAAGCCTGCAATAACATTACACCAGAAATGATTACAGCGTCATGTACTCGTGAACTCATTCGACGTTTTGAAGCATGTTTGGCAAGTAATGGGGGCCATTTCGAACAATTTTTGTAAATATTCAATTATTTAAAAAACATATTAAGAGGTTTACCTATTCATTGGATTTGTTATTTTTTAATATAATAAAATGATAAAATGTAAACTAATTATTAATGACTTTAACCACAACATTGGTTTTTAGTCTTTACCGGCTTTATGACTCTGTAAAGTATATCAAAAATCATATCGTTGTATTCGGGACAAATTGAGTATTTATATCAGCGAAAAAAAATATAGGGGTGACATTTGAAAAAAAAAGTTAGGGGTTGTTCCTATGGGGTGGATTGATGAATATAACTTTATGTAGTGGAATTTAAAAGGCTACTAGACAAATATTATTCATATTTTTTTTTACAATTTTATATCATTAAATAACCGAGATATCCGCTGGGCAAAAAAATCTGGGACACCCGGTATAGATACTATAGTTACTCCTAGTTTTCGTAGTCAGTGAGGAACTGGAAAGTTGGTCAATGAACAGCCTAATTTAAGAAAAAACAGAAGATCAAAAGATGTCTTTAATTAGAAGAAGAATAATGACGGGTTTTAGCTATTGTCATAATGGCAATTTTTAGTTGATATGGTTTCAAAAATCAATGTCCGAAAAGATATACCAAAAACAAACAACAAAAACAGAGTTAAACGACATGTTTCTCTGAAACATTCCAAGAATAAATTATCATATAGAATAAAAGGTAACTATTCCTTTTATTCGACTGATGTCACAAAATCACTGAAAAGAGATAATTACAAGAATGCCAGGAGATTGTGTCAGTTGATGAATTATTCAACTGAATTAGAACGAGAGAAAAATAACGAAATTATTACTCAATTTATTATTATTTGTTTTGTGCTGATCGCTCTAAGCTTCATTTTTTATTATAATTGGTATTAAATCATGTGTTATGAAGAATTTAAAATTTTATGAAAATTAATTGTAAAATACAATTCAAACAATATCGACAACTCAAAAGCTTGATCTTAAGGAGGGTATTAGTGCTGCATATTGTTTAAGATCCAGTTTTCGCATTCATTATGTATTAGACAATTTTAGTTAATTTGTTTTTTTATTTGGTGTCATCGGCATCGACTACTACGGCCATTAGTCTCATGTTCTGTGTAGGCTTCTGTTACTGTTTTCCAACGCCACTTTGGGAACAGCACTGTTAATTAAAACCCAACAGTGAATTGTCGAGTGGGGAATCCTATTTTTCTTTTAAACGAATATAAATTATTTGTTCATCAACTGTAATATCCTAAATATTCTAGTCTTGATATTTTGCTGATATTTAAATGGGTAAAAAATGAACTTACCTCCTACACTTCTTCCCATTTTAAAATTGTTAGGATGCAGACTATATTCGGTCCATTTATCTTCTACAACAAATTCTGTCAGGTGAAGATTTTGTGCAACAACGAATGGAGTATCCTGCTCCCATTTTAAAGTTAAATTTGAAGAATTGTACGCCCCTAAAAAATATAAACCATAAATTTATATTAGTTTTGAACGAGACTCTAATGGCGATTAACAAATACTTTAATCAAGTAAAAAAAATTATTCATGAGTATTTATATGCACACTATTATACCGGTCAAGAATTATCTACATGCTCGAAAAGACATGTTTACTTTTTTTTGTAGATGTCAAAGCAATTCTAAAAAAACTGATCAAGCAAAATGGTCATCAAAAGCGCTAGATGCAACAAAACGGTTGTATAGGGAAAGTAAAAGTTGGAAAGGCTTTTGGTAGGTAGAGAGGGGGTAAACGTCAAACCACGTCGGACGGCTTCGAGAATTTCGCAGTAATGTTTACCTGTCAGTGTCGTTTCATAGAATAAGTAATTTTAAATTGTTATGGGCAGAACCGGGCAATCGCATGTGTTTATGGACTACAAATAATTATTAAACATGTATTATAATATTCAAATCATAATTTTACAAAATTTCAACAGCTATTCACAATAGATTAAACTATTTACTCGAAATTGTTATTAACATCTATAAAATAATTTTGTACGCCAATGTATCGCGTCCACTTCAGTGAGATCTGCAGCAAACCTTTTAATTTATGTGTATAAAGTGGGAGAACTGACAAAAGCCTTTCCAACTTTTACTTCTGTTCTAAAAACAAAGCATGATGATATGCAGTGGCGTAGCTACAGGTGGTTTTGGGGGATCAGAACCCCCCCCCCCATAGAAGGTCCTCGCGTCACCATTTCCGCTATAGTATTGGCACTGATCCCTATTGACTGTTTGTTTTTATTCACTTTCTTGATGGAACCCCCCCATAGTTCTCAAAAATCCTTCCTATGAAAAATGACTGGCTACGCCACTGATCATATGACTATATATTTCATTTTTGACGAATATGGGGCCAATAAGGTATTTTGGTACAGAATACAGATATCCCCTGCTGCACCCTGCTTTGGAACGGACACTACGAAAGAGTACGTTTACGATTATTGGCGAAAGAATGTGTCACTGACTTTACCACCATATATATGTTGGGCGCAAAGTACGAAACCAGTCAATGGCCAAAATTTTCACACAAACCTAAGTTTGGACGTTTTAAAACGACCAAAGCCCGAAGTTAAACTCAATATCGCACTTTAATCGTTTTTAAATAGCCAAACCTAGGTTTGTGCATATAGGAAACGTCCAAAGCTCAAAATAACGGTCATTGGAAATGAAGTGTGGAAGGGGATGGGCTTCTGTAGTGACTACACGGAATTGTCTGTCGTAAATAGAGAGGCATTTAAGTTAAAATTAGATGCCTATATCGAAAAAAGCAAATCGAGTAATACATTTTTGTTTAGTTTTTCTAAGTATAATGAATAAATATCTAATGTGAAAGTTTTACAGTGCAAAAAAAGACAGAGAGAACCGCTTACAACGTTGGATTAAATCTTATCGATATACAAACAAAACCGGATGGGGACTATACATTTATTTTAAATTACCAGGATCATTTGTCCAAATTTGTTATTTGAAACTACTTAAATCGAAAAGAGCTGAGGAAGTAGCTTACAATCTGCTAGATATCTTTTGCATAATAGATGCCCCTTACATCCTCCAAAGTGCAATGGTAGAGAATTTACAACAGTTGTCATACAGGAACTTGCTGATATGATTGACGCTAAAATAGTTCATGGCAAACCACGACATTCGCAACGCCAGGCAAGTGTGAAAAGGGCTAATCAGGATGTAAAGGACATTTTGGTTTCTTGGATGACAGATGAAAAAAGTTCGAATTGGTCTAATGGATTGCGATTTGTTCAACTGAAAAAAATCGGTCTTTTCATAGAGGTATATGAGGTCCATATGAGGCAATGTTTGGGGTTCCTCTATGAAATGGAATATTGGATTCAGACATGCCTCATACGACTCTACATTAACTAGAGAAGAGAAGTTGGAAAATATATTTAATGATAATTCAAATGTGAATGCCTCTAGCGACTCCGGTTCGGATCTGGAAAAAGAAGATCATGTAACTTCACATGAAAATCCAAGCAATAGAGCTAAATGCAACGAAGTAAGTAATATTTCAGCTATTTTTATGTTTTTAAGTAAAAAATTTAGTAAATTAGTTTGGAATTTCAATTTTGAAATGAGTTTTGAACTAATGAAAAATTAATAGTAGGGTTATAATTTAAAATATGATAATGTCGTTTTTAAGGTTTTTGGTGTCAATAATCAATTTTTACTAATATTTAATAACATGATATTCTTTTACAAAGCTATATTATTTATGTCTTGAAGTCCGGCCCTGATCTGTTTTTTACAGTGTACCTATCCATCCGAAAATTGATGCGATATTTGCTTCCGTCAAGAAAGAATCACACAAGCACGTGAAGCATCGTGCACATCCCAGAAAGGACAAGCCAGTGAAATGCTGCAGAGATCCAACAAAAAATTTCCTCCAGTTACCGTTGGACAAAACGTTTTTATAAAAATTCCAGATGTAGACAGAGGGTGAGCTGCACCAAGAAACGTAATGGCTGTTGATATGGAACAGAAAGAAGAAAGCAATTTCTATCAGTTGCATGGAAACATCATCAGGAGTCCTTGAAAAATTGTCCCAGAAAGAGCTCACGTTAAGAACCGCGGCCGCTGTAGACTCTTAGAAAAAGCAAGGTTTTGTGAAGTGCGGGTGTAGAAATAACTGCGGAAACAAGAGATGCAATTGTTTTAAAAAAGGCGTAAAATGCAACTCTATATGCTGTTGATTTATTTTTTTTACACTTTTATTAGTAACAGTCGTTCCATTCTTTTTTTTATATTTTATTTATAATTTAAAATTCTAGCTTTTCCCATGACCGTTATTTTGAGCTTTGGACGTTTCCTAAATGCACAAACCTAGGTTGGGCTATTTGAAAATGATCAAAGTACGATATTGAATTTAACAAAACGTCCAAACTTAAGTTTGTGTGAAAATTTCGGCCATTGGCTGTTTTCGTACTTTGCGCCCAACATATACATATTATGACCGGTAATATGCCCACAAGTAAAAATTCATTAAAAAAAAAACCGACTTCAAAATCGTGCGATACCATCATTACATCTTGACCAAATTTATATGGGACCACCCCTGAGGTGCCTTTATTACTAACAAAAAAATAATTATTGAAATCGGACAAGGTGGTAAATAATTATTCGATTTTCCCAAATATATATGGGACCATCCCTAAAGAATCGCCTTTCTAACAAAAAAAGAACCATTGAAATTGGACACTGTGTTAAAGAATTATGAATCCACATGAAAAAATATTCCTCTTTTGAAGTCTGTTAAAAACTGTGGAAAAGGTCGGTCAAAGAAATCTTTTTTTAAATCCGCTATGTGGTCTTTTGATATGATTAAAATTAAAACACAGGCTTTATTTCATACCATTATAAAATTTCCTTTAGTGACCGCCATTGTCCCCATTTTACCCTAATATATAGGTACAAGGTAAGTCAGCGAAATAAAATAACTTCCAGGAAAATGTTTATTTGAAAAACCCTGAAAGAAGCTTTCTATCCTTTACTCAACTGTCATAAATCATTTCTCTCTCATATTTCTCTATAAACAATTGGGAGTATACCTACCACATTATTGAAAAAGTACTTTTGTTAGAAATGAAGCAGTATGAATATAATTATCTCAGAGCAGTAGTTCTAAGATAAAATATAAAACTTAAAAGCGTGACTCCTCATTTAATTTTATTAGTATTTCAATTCAAAACTTGTTATTATTCTAATTAGGACATTTAATTGCTAGCGCCCTTTAATATTTTTTAACTGATTTAAGTTAATTTTTAATTTAAAACATTTTACTGGAAGTTATTATATATTTTTTGTTTTCTCTGACATGCCCTGTATTCATTTGTATTTTATTGGTTGAAGGCAGTTCAAAATACGTTTTCTACACCCACATGTATATTAACTTACAGTTCATCAAATTTCTAGAGGCTTTCGACGGCTAGACAGAGAAAGCACTACTGACAGGCATCCCGACGGATTTACGCAATGAAAGTACACTCTGCGCATCAAGTATTTCACTATTTCATTCAGACGTAAATGTCAGATGTTAATTTCGCTAAAACATTTCTTTTATTTTCGTTTGTGTTTTTTGCTCATTACAGTTTAATAGAACCTAAGTACCTATGGAGTTTAATAGCAAATTAAGAGGCCGCGTGATTAACAGTCAATCTCGCGAAATAATAGCCAATGTTATTCGCTCCGTGCGCGACAGCAGCGCCAATTTGTTTTGGTATTAAAGGAGTATTTCTGCCTATACTAACAAATACAATTTTTAATAGAATTCGTAAATAAAAAGTATATATGTTAGTTTTAATAAAAGTATATGGATTTATAAAACAATTAAAACATTAATTTATTATTATTATATATTTTTCACGCTTAAATTAAAGAAAATTATGCATAATCATTAAAAATCAATAATAAAATATAGGCAGGCAACAGTATTTACTGGAAAATGTATGAGAAGTTGCCTAAGTCTAATAAGTTGTCATTGAAGAAACCATTTATAATAGCGTGAAGTTAAAATGTATAAAAAGGATCGCTACTTATATTTTCATTATTGTTCTAAAGAAAACATAGAATGAATGATTAAAACTGGTTTCCAATCAGTAAGTCACAAAATTGCATACCAGCCAAATATTATAATCAACGGCAGAAATCTTGAAATCTAGTCCTTGTTGAATGAACATTTAAGAATAAAGGGATATTAAAGAACATCGTAAAATGATAATTTATTGTTTATTTAAAAACTTTCTAGTTTCTGATGTCTACTATTTCCAGCATTACTGTTATTATCACAAAAATAAAGGTAATTTTTCTTCTTATTGTACACCTATCCATTTATTTCTTTGATTTAATTTCCACTTTGTTAGTGAAATTTGTTATATAAGTTTCACTGTTTTTTTTTTTGCTAGTATTTGTACAATTTTCAACACAGCAACTCCGGTTGC